GATGATGTCTGACTTTACTGGCACACACTTTGTCCTCATTATTCTGTTAATCTAAGCAGTTCATGTCGATTACCTCTGGAGCATATACTGTATGCCTATAGCATGCTCTAATAAGTACTGTGATACCACAAAAACTTGGGCCTCTTAGTAGAAAACCAATTGCACGTGAAACCTCTTGGTTCCCATGGGATATTCTGCAGTATTATATAAAAATAACATGAACGATATTCCATATAAAACATGTACTCATGTACACCTAATGGTTGTCTTGCATTGTTAAATCAACAATTGCACCCCTGACTGGCTGATCATTGTACTCAAGGTGGTCTATAATACCTTTAAAGGGTTTATTCACCTAAGTGGCAGTTACTCTGGTAAACAGCACAGCATGTCTTCAATATGTAATTCATACTGTCATAATTTGTTTTGGATGATGTCTGACTTTACTGGCACACACTTTGTCCTCATTATTCTGTTAATCTAAGCAGTTCATGTCGATTACCTCTGGAGCATATACTGTATGCCTATAGCATGCTCTAATAAGTACTGTGATACCACCATGGTTTTTGGTTTTATGGTATTCTTTGAAGCTCTTAGGTCAGCACAAATTGACTACTGTGGTAAACACATTGACCCAAAGCCTGGTGCAGCGACTGTTTTCTCTCTACACTTTGACACTAAGCAGACGCTAATGTGGTCAATCTGATGAATAGACAGCACATGCTAATATCCCAAATGATCTTCCCTGCTTTCCCATAAAAAGAAAAAAAAAGCAGTGATGAATCTGTGTTTCCTATTTAAACAGACCACAAAACCTCACAGTTGTCCACATAATGTATTGGAGTGGCATTTAAAAGTTAATGTCTCTGAGGATGCAAGGTGGCAGAAATCCATTTAGAATGAAGAGGAATGGCCTGCCATAATAAGTGTCCCTTTCTTTAAATTTTGATGAAACCATCTCTTTTTTTTCTCAGCCTTTACAAAAGATGGGTAATTATCCTTTGTTAAAATTTCTGTACAACTGGGCACTATTCAGTGTTTGTTTCAGTGATATATTATTTTTGTATTTTCTAAAAAAAAAAAGTAATTAAGTGTGGGGTCTGTGCAAACGGATAGTCACGTGGTTGCTTATTTTAGTATTATATATAGTATTTTATTAATAATTTAAATTATCTTTAGTTTTTATATTTTCAGATAACATTTAAAGGGGTCATATGATGCGATTTCAAGTTTTCCTTTCTTTTGGGAGTGTTACAAGCTGTTCGTGCTTAGATAAGATCCCTAAAGTTGCAAAGACTAAAGTCTCAAATCCAAAGAGATATTCTTTATAAAAGTTAAGACTCACCCACGCCCTCCTAAAACGCCTCGTTCAAACACGCCCCCACATGTCTACGTCACTGTTTGGGAAGATTTGCATAACGCTGCCCAAATGTTCACGCAAAGAAAGAAGGCGTAACTTTATTGTTGCTGCCGCCACTGCCGCCATGTCGTGAAGACGCTGTGTGTTTCGTTGTGAAAGCGAAACTACTTTGTTTGGCCTTCCAAAAGAGGACACAACTAGAAATCAGTGGTTAAGTTGTATTTACAACACTGTTCCAGAACAGTTCAACCCAAATATTCAGATGTGTGCAGCGCGACCGGATTCGTGACAAATGTACAGTATGTGGAAAATAATGTTTTTTTTAACCTTAAACCGCATAAACACATTTCATTACACCAAATACACAAAGTAATGTTCTTTTTAGCAACATCATATGACCCCTTTAATTTTTTGTTTGTTTAGTAATTTTTCTATATGCTGTTGTCTTTTTTATTAGTTTTTTTATATTTCTATTTGGCTTAATTTATTTTAATTTCAGTTTTAGTTTTAGTAATTTTATATGTCAAGTTTCATATGTTGCTAAGGCAACATTCTAATATATATGTAATATTTATATATATATATATATATTTTTTTTAACTTTATTTCAATTAACAAAAATTATTTTACATAGTTAATAACAACTCTGGGTGGTTAAAAGAGAACAGTTTAAAGAATGTCTTAACTGCTTTTGTCCATACAATGGGGTGTAAAACAACACTGGATCCCACTGAAAAACAAAAAAAACACTAAACTCTAAACTTCCGTGTTCCACGGAAGAGTGTAACAAAAGTAAAGGGCAACTGCAGGTGCATCTCAAAAAATTAGAATGTCGTGGAAAAGTTCATTTATTTCAGTAATTCAACTCAAATTGTGAAACTCGTGTATTAAATAAATTCAATGCACACAGACTGAAGTAGTTTAAGTCTTTGGTTCTTTTAATTGTGATGATTTTGGCTCACATTTGCTGACCAGCTTTTTGAAGATGCTGATTTCATTTTCCAGCAGGATTTGGCACCTGCCCACACTGCCAAAAGCACCAAAAGTTGGTTAAATGACCATGGTGTTGGTGTGCTTGACTGGCCAGCAAACTCACCAGACCTGAACCCCATAGAGAATCTTGTCAAAAGGAAAATGAGAAACGAGACCAAAAAAAAAAGCAGATGAGCTGAAGGCCACTGTCAAAGAAACCTGGGCTTCCATACCACCTCAGCAGTGCCACAAACTGATCACCTCCATGCCACGCCGAATTGAGGCAGTAATTAAAGCAAAGGGAGCCCCTACCAAGTATTGAGTACATGTACAGTAAATGAACATACCGGTACTTTCCAGAAGGCCAACAATTCTTTTTTGTTTTAAAAAAAAACATTTTTTTTTATTGGTCTTATGAAGTATTCTAATTTGTTGAGAGAGTGAATTGGTGGGTTTTTGTTAAATGTGAGCCAAAATCATCACAATTAAAAGAACCAAAGACTTAAACTACTTCAGTCTGTGTGCATTTAATTTATTTAATACACGATTTTCACAATTTGAGTTGAATTACTGAAATAAATGAACTTTTCCACGGCATTCTAAATATTGAGATGCACCTGTGTATCATGACTGAATTTTTCTGAACTATCCCTTTAAATTCTCAAATGAGGTCTCTAGATATGGATCCCTCCATCATAGTGCATTTATTTTTATTGCATGTCAGAGTATTGTATATACCAAAATATTAGTCTGATCACTTAGAAAAGTAACAGCATATCTCTGCACAAAAAGCCATACTATTTGAGGTCTCTTTCCTGTTTGTAACACAAATATTGCATGGTGATTGAATTTGACATGCTATAGTTCAATACTGCAATAATGACAACTCTACAAACATATGTACTGTATATAAAACTGCAAGAACTGATTTAAAATGATGAGATCAGAGGATCTTTGTTTGTTTAGAGCTGTGGTTGTTTGCACTCTCACATGCACTCGGTCCTTTGAGAATTCTGCTGTACGCTTTGAAAAATCCAAGTGATTGCACTGAGCGCCATAGATGTGTTTTTAAAAGCATTTAGCCCTCTGGCAATTAGTTAGGTCTTAATGTACAATGTCAAAACAAGCCATCGACCCGCCGATTGACCAGTCCTCCCTTTCTTTTCCCCTCTGTCAGTGAAATGGGAATTGGAACAAGTTTTTGTTTTATTCTCTTGAAGCTTCAGATCTACTATAGCAACACTAATGGTACATCAACTTTATAGATTGTGCCGTTTCATCATAAATTGTTTTTAACTTGCTCTGGTCTCCATCATGTTACTGCATGAGGTAAATATTCAGGCTGGCAGCCAAGAAGACATTAAAAAACATGGCTGTCAATAAAGCATTTTAGTGCCTGTAGGTCAATACATTTGGCCCATGTTGTCAAAGCACTCTGTACGAACCTCTATTGACCAACCTATAAACATGAACCTATACGCATAACTCACTGTTACAATAACACACACACACACTCATGATGAGGTAAGACATTACACTTTTATTAAATACAATGGCAGACAACTTGACTGGTCCATATATCTCATACAGATAAGGACATTTGATTGTACTAGTGTGGCTGAACGTATAACTCTATAATTCCATAAATGAAATTATCACCCTATATTTGTGAAATCTTCTTTCCAGGTGTCAATAGGCCTGTTAAAAAGTATTAAGAAAAGGGAGTAAGTCTCCCAATTTTGGACTTAAAGTCAACACGAAACAGCCTTTGAAAGCCATTTTATTTCTGTAAATTGGTGATTGGTAAGGTCAACAGAAAAGGCAAGTTGTTTTAGAGTTACACAATGACTTTTGTCTGTGTAATAATGTGCACAATAAGAAAAAGGAAAGTGTAAGAAAGTGAAGAAGGTCAGTTCTGCTTTCATGTTGACTTTAACACTTGTTCAATTGTGGTAGTTAGCTTATAGATATTCTGAAACATCAGAAGAGGTTCTGAACATGTAGAAGAAGGTGTCTGATATGCAGTCACAGTTTATTGTTCTGTCGCAGGATGCTTTGGAGATTTTTGCACAAGGCAAGACTAATCTGAGCTACTGAAACTCATTCATATTTGTATCTCAAACAACATTTTCCCTCGGTTTTATGATGAAAACAAAGGAATTGCATTCTGGCATTATTTTCATGACAATTAAGCACATTTTACCCCATTGCTATATATATATCATAAAAACAAATCATAGCCATCACTGTAATGAGAAAAAAGTAATGATATTCAAAGTGTAAAATACTGATGCTTCATGGTAGTTTGTTATACTTTCTTGAAATTGTGAATTTAAATTAAAAACATTGTTCTACAGTAAAAACGACTGTATTACAGTAATGAGAATTACAATTTAGAATAATGGAAATTTTAAAAAATGTCAGCGAGAATTTGTGGAGAAAATGTTCTTAATGATCATGAAAAATGGTCGTAATCCAAAATGATGCTTCTTTTGTGGGAATGTAACGAACATTTAACCTAAAGTTTTCTCATTGTTCATCCAAAATATGTACTCTTTCTGTCTTTTTACATTAATACATCCTCTATATTCATTCTCAACCAAATATGAATTTTTTTGTTCTTTAAATAATAATAATATAAATAATAATTAATTTTACATAAAATCATTTACAGGCAAAAGTCAAAAACAAATGTGCTTCACATTAAGTACAAAATAAATTTGTTTTAAAAAGTTACATATCTTAAAGATTACAATTCTTATTTCCAAAAAATAAATTAATTAATAAACTAATTCCTTGTGTAAACAATTTTTGGGACTTTTCGCTCAAAAACTGAAGATTTGTGTTCACAAATTCATGCCATTGAGTCCAGTGTGCAAAGTCTCCAATAGGAGAGGGATTGACAGTGCAATAATGAACTCAAACAAAAAGGATGCTGGGATAGGATCTCTATAGTAATAAATAGTTATAATCATCTATGTACAATAAAAGGAAGAAGAAATGTGGGTTTTAGTGAGGTGACTCATGTTTATCTCTGTTTAACATTATTTTCCTCCCCTCGTCTCATTCTCTCCATCCTGTCCCCTCCTGTCTCTCCTCTTTTCCCCACTGATAGCGCATATGAGTCTAGAGGGAGTTGCTGCTAATAGAAGACATTTGTCCTGTAATGAAATATATATTACACTATAGCAGTTGCACAACCAAGCAAGCTTGAGTACTACATTAGTGCTTCCACTCAGTAGTAAAACATGGCGATCGAGAATGAGAGAAAGCAAAGGTCGTAATTTAGCCCGCACCATCATAATCGGCCACTTTGTGTAATTAAGCTCCTGTAAGAAATGCAAGCTGACGGTACTCTCAAATGACTCCATCTAGCCCTCCGTAGCACATGTCGTGTACAAACCTGAAGACATAGCGTTGATTTTGTGGTGGGCACAGGGGCAGAAAACAGACATGCTGGTTGTAACATCACAAAATGGTGAAGGCTTAGCTTATGAACATTAATAAGGTTAATAATGATCTTATAAATATGAAGCATTGATCTGGAAATCAGGTCAGTAGTAGAGTATGTGCTCAAGTCAAAAGTAAAATGTGACATTATGTATAGAAATGTCAGAAAATCATAACTAATTCCATCACCAGATCGCTACTCATTTTAACAAAATTGAAACCTTTGCTCGACAATTGGAGACATGTCCACTGCACTCGTCATAACCCTAAACTATTTCATAAAGTGGTGGGACAAAGTTGGTGGAAATGGATGGACAAAATTGGCCCTGGAAAAAGTGGTGGGTACGTGTCTCACTATAAATAACGCCTATGTTATAGACACATTTTAGTGAGTTACTTCTCCATTTCAGATGAGATCGGCAGCAACAACATCCTGTCAGCGTCCAGAAGCTTTTAATTAAAGTCGCTCAACTGTGAAACTACATTGGTAGCGTCCAGTTCCATAAACAGACATGTATACATTTAGATATAGTCGCAGTTTGTCACTGTTGGTCACCATGCTAATTTCAGGTTCTGTGCTTTGTATCGGATTAAGGATGTAACAGGTGGGAGCCGACTGGAATCTGATGGGCTTAAAAGTTGTTTACTTCTCCTCACATTTGTGTTTGGTCATTGTTTATGGAGCTGCTGTTTCCTCTTTGTTATTAAGAGGGACGCCCTTCCTCAAGTCCCGAATGCATTTTTCCCAAAATGGAATTTACAGGTGTGAACTTGCTCCAGAAGTTGAGAATGGTTGAAAATTGTATTCTTAGTAACTAAACTATAGTCACTTCAATGCGGCTCTTTCCATTCAATCCATTTTTGTTCAGAAATACATCATTCGTAGTCATTGTACATGGACAACATCCCATTTCCATTTCATATTGAGAAGTTGGTGCAGTTGACGAGGAGGTGGACAAGGAAGGAGATGTTAAAGCTGTAGAAGAAAGAGATTTTGGGTGAGATAGAGGAGGGGGCAGTTTCAGGAATCCAATCGCAGTCCCACGCATGGCACGTGCGCTCTTATCCCAGGATGTCCAGATACACCGGTGATGCCTTGGCCAGGTTGAGGAGCAGGTTATGGATCTCTTTAATGTTGAGTCGGGTGTGCGGTTCTCTCAGCCAGCATCCCAGCATTAAATCATACACCTCCTTCAGACAGGTCCGGGGTCGCTGCAGTACACGACCTTGGGTGATACACTCAATTACCTACAAAAGAGCAATGAGTGAAATGTCAAGCAAAAAATGTCCAGAAATGTGTGACGCAAACTGATATAAAAGTAGAAAAGGATTGTTTATTAAAGGGGACATCGGATGCAAAATTCACTTTTACGTGGTGTTTGCATATAAATGTGTCAGTGTGTGGACACAACCATCCTACAATGATAAAAATCCATTCACTCCTTTTTTTATTCCCCAAAAAACCTAAACAGTCTCAATAATCAAGCCCTTTTTAATATCCGAGCAGTATGACATCATACTGCTCAGGCCCCGCCCACGACCACTGACGGACTGTCCCTTATTAGCATATTTCCGCCCTCAGCCAGATGTACGCTGTCCGCCATCTTCTCCGCAATAAGCAATGCAGGTGTTTTGTAGTTGGATGTAAAGCGAGCATAATAGTCTTCGGGTGGGGTGAGCAGTAGCTGATTATCATTTCGAAAACGAAATGGGTTGCTGTGAACAGAGCTGTTTTCGACAAGGTAAAAAGGATGTTGTTTTAAATGACCGTTGAGGATTTTTACCAAAGTATGTTGCAGACATTTCATGAAGACCCTAAAGAATCACACCAGCTTGTGGACAATGGGCATCCAATGTCCCCTTTAAAATAAACCGATGTGACAATTTACATTTCCAACAGTGTTGAAGTTTTTATAGTATAGCTATTTGTCATGGGTATCCAAACCAATTCCTGCACGGCCACTGTCTTGCAGAGTTTAGCTCCAACCCTAATTAAACACACCTGAACCAGCAAATCAAGGTCATCAGATTCACTAGCAACTTCCAGGCAAGGGAGTTGGGGCTGGAAGGAACTAAAATCTGCAAGACGTTGGCCCTCCAGGATCAGGATTGAACACTCCTGTCTTATGTGTTTGAATACTTAGGCTATTCAAAGAGAAATCTGAGATTTGAATGAATGCTAAGTGGTTGCTTAGGTGTTCTAAATGGTTTATAAGGTTCTTCTGGTTGGTTATGGTGTTCTGGGTGGTTCCCAGGGCAAGGGTGTAGAGTCAAATAGAGTTTAGCTACAACTTGCTCCAATACATCTGCCGGGAAGTGTCTAGTAATCCTGAAGACCTCTATTAGCTGGTTCAGGTGTGTTTAATTGGAGTTGGAGCTAAACTCCAGGATAGTGGTCCTCCAGGAGTATGACTGGACACCCCTGTTCTGGGTGGTGGCTGGCGTGTTCTATGTGGTTGCTACATTCTCAGAAACCTTTCCAAAAGACGTTTGTACATTTTAGGATCTAATATGTACACTTTAGGTACTAATATGTGCATTTAAAGTACCAATGTGCACCCTTTTGGTGTACCTTTTGAAAAGACACTGTCCAGTGAAAGAGCACAGCTTTCTAACCCTGTTTCTGGGGGCACATTTATAGGATAATATTGTCATTTATATGAGCTAAATGACAACTCAAGGCAGCTAGCAGACGGTCGATTAAGCCAGTGTGTCTGCTTCCTGACCTGGGCTCCAGTTAGTCAAACAATAACACTACAAGGACTATATGGCAGATTTCTAGAAAGGAGAGTGGCACCCTAACTGGAGGGGTTGATGTCTCCATTTAGTAGGTCAGGTCTAGCCCAACAACTCAGCCAATTATCTATGAATCCTTTACTATTATGCAGACACCACTTAGACAACTATTCATTGGGATCAGTTGAAAATGTATACTGTTATATTCTAGGAACAGGGTTGGGAAACCTTGCTCAGGGGTCTTTTAGTTGATTGCTAATGTGTTCTATGTGGTTGCTAAGGTGTTCTGCGTGGTCTCTAAGGCAGGGGTAGACAACCATTCTCCTGGAGGTCTACCTTTCTGTAGACTTCAGTTTCAACCTGCTCCAACACACTTGCCTATGACTTTCAAGTAATCCTGGAGACCTTGATTAGCTGGTTCAGGTGTGTTTGATTAATGTTGGAGCTGAACTCTGCAGGATGAATCAAATTTGGTAGTTGGATCAAATTTGTTGGCTCATGAATTAAAAAAAAAGAAATGTGCTGGAGAGGCCTCCCAAAAAAAGGCCTTTTGTGGAGATGGCGCTGGTGTGTAGATGTTTTAATGTGTCAATACCTCATTATTTGACAGTTGGTACCAGGGCTGTTTACCATAGGTAAAGATCTCCCACAGCACTACTCCCAGACTCCAAACGTCACTCTCCGTGGTGAACTTCCTGTACATGATACTTTCTGGTGGCATCCAGCGGATTGGCAGCATGGTATGGCCTCCAACCTACACATGTAAAACTTTGAACATTGAGTTATGCAACATATGGATGCTGATGTCAAATCATTAAAAGTGGTAACGGCCAAACAATGTAATTTATTACAAAAAAGAATGGCACTGAATATTGTATAACTGTGGTTTGACTTTAAGATGTCCAGGTGTGCTCAAATCGATGAAACAGAAGATACATAAAACCAAACTACTCTATCAAAACTCCCTGCATCTGACAGGTGCTAATGGATAAGATCCATACATACTTTTAGAGCAAGAGCAGACAGTCGACAGTTTGTTGTATTTGGAACATTGTTCAGTCCAAAAACCTCTCAGGCAAATGCTGACAGCATTTCCAGTTCAGGACCTCAGATGGTGCCATAAGTTGTGCCTCTCAGGATTTTGATACTGTAAGCTTGGGGAGTTAGTCTGGTCTGGAGCTCAACCCCAAAACCAATCATTTCATTTATTAGCTTTCTCCATAATGCGCTGCCTCTGAAATATTAATTATGAGATTGTGGTCCAGTATGTGGATTAGTCTCAGATTAATTGGTTTAACATACTGGATTCATCAAATATTAAGGTCAAAAGCTTTTAGGCTTTTCACTGGTCCCATAGTGGAGCTACAGATTGGAAGGGTCACTTAAAAAGTGGTCTACTACACAAGCACTATTAGAAACCTTTTCCCCCTGCAATCGAACACACACACACATTCTCACATGCTCATCCACACAACAACATCCTGCTAAAAAGCTTAGACCAGTTTGCACTAGTTTAAATTCCTCTTAACTGGTTTTAGGTGGACAGTTACTGGCAAAGCCCATTATTGTTGCATTATTGTATTAAGTTTGTAGCTTATCGGTTAGTAAAGTGTGTACATTATTAAGTATGCAAAAAAAAAGTGTAATTTTCAGCTAACCCTGAAATTGGATACGAGATAGAAGAACAGAACTGAATGACTATGATAATAATACACTTTGCTAAAGTCAACATGTAAGGCTGTTCGCACATTACTGTTATAATTAGGAAAATTTGGATATTCAGTTAGGAAAAAGGTAGGACAACTTCATCCATCAAGAACTGATTGGTTCATAAAAACTGTATGTTTCTAAAAAGATTGGAGCAAGATAACACATGGCTCAAAGTTTAAGAAGACATGTTTTTCCTTTGGAATACTGTGTAGTGATAAATGGTGCACAATATGACCAAGAATGTGTATTAAGAAAGTAAACCAGGTTAATTTTGATTTCCTGCTGAATTTAAATTATCAAAATATTGACTCTCTATTAAAGAATTGGTAAAACTTTAGTTTAGGGACCAATTCTCACTATTAACTAGTTGTTTATTAGCATGCATATTACTAGCATATTGGCTGTTTATTAGCACTTATAAAGCAGATATTAATGCCCTATTCTGCATGATCATATTTTAGTTAACCCTAACCCATACATAAACTTAACAACTACCTTACTAACTATTAATAAGCTGCAAATTAAGAGTTTATTGAAGCAAACATTTGTAGTTAATAGTTAGTTAATAGTGAGAATTGGTCCCCAAACTCAAGTGTGACTACAGAGTTATATGGAGAGAAAGAAGGATGACAAAGGTGGAAAAGACTTTATGAAGATCATCAGCCATGTTTATGAAGCTTCTGAATATGGGTTATAATGCACTAATGTAGCTTCATAAGAAGTTCTGTGGTTACACAACATGCTTTCACAACATAACTCCACCCATCAGCCTCTGCCTGGCCAGCTGTTTCTATGGAAACTGATGTTCTATAGGCCTAACCAATGGTGTACACATTGTGCACGCACACTCACAAATCCACTGACCTGCATTTGAATCTCAATGGAGGCTCTTATAATGGAGACGTGTCATGATATTCATCAGTATTCAGAGATAAATGAACTCAAATGAACTTGGCACAGTTGTTAGTGAAGAGAGTTATCTAATAGCACATCTCTGCATTTATAAACATCATTCAACCCATATTCAATCACTGGATAAATGATTCACGCTGAATACATGAATGGAACACAGTAGAAGAACATCATGATATCAAAGAATAAATCAAGTTGTCAGTCTGTCTTCGAATGCATCATATTCCAAAGTGTAAGGTTTGGTTTCTTGATTTTCTTTTTGCTAGCCATTATATTTATATATCTTTCGGTTTGTTTTTATCCTAACTTTTTATCCCTAACTTAGGCCCCTCTCCATCTCAGTAGGCCCTCATGCTGATTATGGGGGTGAATACTAATGAGAGAACTTTAATGACTTTTTCAGTTTGACAGCGCAAGCGCTCTATTCCTTTTCTTTGCTGTTGCCATAGCAACCCCTCTTTCCTGTTCCCACACCACTTACCTCCCTGACTCCTAATCTGGGAGAGACTTACTGACAGTAGTGAATCAGGACATGCACACACACACACAAAGAGTGAAATTCTGCTGACATCATAAAGAAAGAGAGCTAGTAGGGTCAAGGTGTTTGAATAGCTGGTATTCAGTGATCAGTAGACAGTGTATAGCAAAGAACATGAGACGCATATTGATTTATACATATACTGGGAAAAGGACTTAAATACCACCTTTAGGTGTCCTTGTGAAGTCAGCATTAATTTCCAAGTAATAAAATGTATATTTTTTAATATATAATTTTCTATGTAATGCTATAAATTCAAGTGTAATTTAAGTATCCCAAAACATTTTGGGGTCAAAAACACAGTCAAACTAGAAAGGAAATCTTACCCGATAGTAATCCGTACTGTAGACATCTCGGGACATCCCAAAGTCTCCGATCTTCACCAGGAGATTCTCCCCGACTAGGCAGTTTCGTGTGGCCAGGTCTCTGTGAACAAAGTGCTGGGAAGCCAGATACACCATGCCTGCGGCGATCTGCTGTGCAATATGCAGCATCTGAGACTGAGTGAGCTCTGCCTGCTGCTGCACCTGTCCATCAGCCATCAGGACTGCATCAGGACCATGAGCCCTGCGGGTGGACAGACAAAGTAATGACCTCAACCAGACCATAATTCACAAACATTCATCTTAGAGTCAGAGACTGGCCATGGTAGATCATTTGGGTTTCAGAGAGAATGTGTTTACCAATTACAAGTTCAAACTTGCTAGCAGGAATTAAATTCCTATGCTCTGACGGATTGATTTCCTTTGTATTGGAATTTTAATACAAGAAAAATGATGTGCAACTATTGGCTTACATGGACAAAGCAATTATAGAAAAGATGTGACTAGGCACTATTGGATTCCAATACAAACCACACATGCAGACATGTTCAGGCAGCTGTACCTAAGGAACTTGTTGAGGTCGCCGTGTTTCATGTACTCAAACACCATAATAAGTGGATCGCTCTCAACACACACTCCGTAGAATGTGACGATGTGTTCGTGCTGCAGATTAGTCAACAACTCAGCTTCACGATGGAAGTCCTTCCTGGCGTTCTCGCTGGCCTCTTTCAAAGTCTACAAACACAAAACGTGTACAAATACACTGAGTATACTGACAACTTAACGTTCAGTATGCCAACATCAACACTAAATTCAACAACCAACCTTGACAGCCACTAAGATCTTCTCCTGATCTGTGGACAGGTTGTAGCATTCGGCCAGAAACACTTTCCCAAACGCTCCTTCTCCGAGTTCCCTCTTCAGTACAATGTTGTGCCTCTTAATGTGCTGAACAACTGTTGAAAGAACACAACACAATCACACATTTATGTTACATTTGTGTTCTTATCAAAATTATTCACAAGAAAGAATGTATTTTGTAATACATTGGTCATTCTCTGGTATTATGTGCCATATACTGAACAGGATACTGTACTTAGTCATGTAATTTTGTCATGTCATCTGAGTGAGCATTTGTAATGGAGAACAGCTAGTACGAGCTGCTCAGGTAAACCTCACTCCCTGCCCTCAAGAGGCACTCTAGGAACCGACAGTAGAAGCTGAGTCCTTGCTAGCATGCCTGCCTCCCATGCTGGTTGACAATGGTTTGAATTCCATTTGGAGTGGTGCGAGTAGGACTAGTTACATTGGTGCCGTGACCTGGATTGGTGCCGTGACCCGGATGGGAGTGAGTGATACGAAGGCCAGCTAGAAAGAGCTCCACAGGTAAACCTCACACCTCTGTCCTCAAGAGGCATGGATTGCTCAGAGTAGTGCAATTAGGACCAGATGTCAAACAGAACAATTGACTACACTCTAAAAAACAAACAAAACAAGAGTTGAGACTGTTGGGTAAAGAAGGATGACAGGAATATGTGTGAAAAATAAGAAAAGTAATCGGGGCAGAACTTTAAAATGCCTGCAGCGAGAAGTATGTTCTTTTAAAACTGGAGTGTTTTCTCTCAAACCAAAATCACTTGAGTGCTGAGCCGTAATGGCGCTTGAGAAAAGTGACTAAAATGCTTTAAACAGAGAGGGTTAAAAGGGATTTTTATAGTTTTTTTTTCCATTGACGGAAGAAAAAATGAATGAAATAGTCAAATTCGGTCTTAAACATAAGTTAATACATTTTTCTTCAGCAATGTTCAATGTAATGTTTAAAAAGCAATTTCATGTATGAGCTGTATAACTGTTGATTTGCCATTCTTTTTTGCACGCTTTCTCATTCACATACACATGTACACATTGTTTTTACTTTTGCCTATATCTTGTTCATTTCTGGGTGTTCTTACTTATTAATACATTTTCATTCCTATGTTGCTACTCTAATCATTCTTTGTGTGTTAAAGTGATTATAATTTAAGTTTGTTTTAATCCAGCAGTATTAATACTTTGTAAAAAAAAAAGATTAAATAAAAATAGCAACAACAACAGCGTAGCGTGCTGGGTCAAACATTTAACCCAACGCAGGAAGGTCAATACATTTACATTTACATTTACATTTAGTCATTTAGCAGACTCTTTTATCCAAAGCGACTTACAATTGGGGGATACATAAAGCGATTCTTCTTAAAGAGGCAAACAGACACAAGAAGTGGTTGTAATACCAAGTTCTTAGACATTGTTCAAATAAGTACAAGCTAGAAATACAATACAAACCAGCGCTGAGTTTGTCCCTTTTTGACTGATTGCTGGCTTGCCAAAATGACCCAAATTTGGTTGTTTTTAACCCAGCATTTTTAGAGTGCACTTGGTCTGACAGATAAAATAAGAGCATACACATCTGGAACAACATAGGAGTTGGTAAATAAAGACAAAAATGTGGAATGAACTATACCTTTAAGATCATTTTGCACAGCCCTTGAACTCTGTAACCTTCAATCCCAAAATAGTATAATGGGATTGGATCCAAACATGGTGGATCTGGATTGTGACTGTGGGGCTTGGAATTGTGTCTCATAGGCTGGAGACTCGAGTCTTGAAGACTTCGAAAGCTAGAGATTTTACTTTTGCCTATATCTTGTTCATTTCTGGGTGTTCTTACTTATTAATACATTTTCATTCCTATGTTGCTACTCTAATCATTCTTTGTGTGTTAAAGTGATTATAATTTAAGTTTGTTTTAATCCAGCAGTATTAATACTTTGTAAAAAAAAAAGATTAAATAAAAATAGCAACAACAACAGCGTAGCGTGCTGGGTCAAACATTTAACCCAACGCAGGAAGGTCAATACATTTACATTTACATTTACATTTAGTCATTTAGCAGACTCTTTTATCCAAAGCGACTTACAATTGGGGGATACATAAAGCGATTCTTCTTAAAGAGGCAAACAGACACAAGAAGTGGTTGTAATACCAAGTTCTTAGACATTGTTCAAATAAGTACAAGCTAGAAATACAATACAAACCAGCGCTGAGTTTGTCCCTTTTTGACTGATTGCTGGCTTGCCAAAATGACCCAAATTTGGTTGTTTTTAACCCAGCATTTTTAGAGTGCACTTGGTCTGACAGATAAAATAAGAGCATACACATCTGGAACAACATAGGAGTTGGTAAATAAAGACAAAAATGTGGAATGAACTATACCTTTAAGATCATTTTGCACAGCCCTTGAACTCTGTAACCTTCAATCCCAAAATAGTATAATGGGATTGGATCCAAACATGGTGGATCTGGATTGTGACTGTGGGGCTTGGAATTGTGTCTCATAGGCTGGAGACTCGAGTCTTGAAGACTTCGAAAGCTAGAGACTCAATGGGGTGTTGAAGTGAGGAAACATAAGGAACTTGGCTTAAGATGCCTGAAAAAAATATAAAACTCAGTAATGGTCTCAGTAACAGGAGAATCAGGAACATTTTCTCAAACAGGAAACTTAAACAAGCTCCTCAGGTACAAGTAATTCTGGGATGTATAATAATGTATAATTCTGGGGTGCAGGACTCTCACGGAGCAGAGCAGCCTCCATGATATGACTCAGCAAAGGAAACTCAGGGATATAAGCAGCCTCAGGTGCTTGACTGCTCTGGTGTGCTTCTGGCGAAACGGCATTAATAAACTCTCTGGAGTGATGTGGATGTATTCCCTCAGTGTGAGTTTTCTCTTTTCTTGTAAATCCACAATCATAAAAATATTTTACGTGAATCCAGATGGATTTAAGTCATCTCAGTTCAGAGGACTTGCTGTTTCATAAAAACATGACTAGTCTAAACTGGATATGACCTGCCTGGCAGAGTTCAGAAAAAAAATAGCTGTTCGATCCACAGCTTGAAGGATCTTCTGTAATGTAAGTCTCAGAGAACGAAGGTTGAAAGACCTACAGTACGTGCCTCTTTATTCACAGAAGTCAACAAGGGTCTGAAGACTGAGAACAAGTAACTCAAGAAACTCAATATACCAGGACTTACTAAACATAGCATACGGACATGGACACCAATTAAAAAATATATAGATAAATAAGTAAATAAATAAATAAGAAACATGACATGAATCCAAAAATTCAAGAAAACTTGAAATAAACAAAACCAATGAGACTGAACCACAACATGTAATAAATATTAATAACATAGTAATAATAGGACTAGTCCCATTATGTCTACCCAATATTCTGCGGATGCTTGGGTACACTTGAGTTAGTAAGGTATTAGTGTTGGGATACTTGGACTCGGACTGCAATTATGAATAAACTCCGATTCAGATGGACTCGGACTTCACACAAACTCAGACATTTTGGACTGGAAATTATTTGTACCACGAAAGATAAAAAAATAACCCACATTATAAAAAAAGAGACATTAAAAATGTGCAGTGTTGGAGGTTCTCCAGGACCAGGATTGGGAACCACTGGTCTACCTAATCAGACACCCCTGATTTAACTCATCAGCTGGATTATTAGAGGCTCAAGATCAAACTCATGTAAATAGAGCTCAAATATAACGACACTTCAATTACATAGAACCTTGACGTGTCATTATATTTGATTTAAAGGTGATACAAAGTAATTGTAACGCTTCCAAACTCTTGGATTAAGCAGTTGGATACGGTTACTTTTACACTACCTTTAGGACCTTTTTTGTTCTTGAAACTTTTGGACCCCATTGACTTTCATTGTATAGACAGCTGAAACATTCTCCTAAATATTTAGTTTTGTGTTCTATAGACATCCCAATGGTTTTTTTTACTACACAATGGGTGTCTGCGAGCTTCATTTATGAGATACACAAGACGTGTATAATTCCAGACACTGGACATAATTTAATAAAAGGTGCACTAGAGATTATTTCAGATATGGTGGAAAAGAGATGTTTCTCATCCTTTAAGAGAGTGAGGACAGTACAGAGATAAGACGAGATTAATCAGGTGCTTAGTGTGCAGGAGGAGAGAGAGATAAAGAGAGAGAGAAGATTTTGAACAGACACTGCACTCATAGAGATTTATCCTTAATGTGATTAAGAAATGCTTTTTAAGAAAAACTAGCCAGTCAGCTGATTACATTAGCGAGAGCTAGATGATGAGGCTGCATCGATCTACAGTAACTTACTGTACACCATAACCCTATATTAAAAGTAACCAGAGTGGGGAGGAAAGCACACAGTGAACGAAAAAACAAGAGGCAAGTGAAGAGGGCTATAAAATAAATATTTAAGATGCTGTGTGTTTGAGTCTGAATTTCATTCCCAATTTAAAAAATATTAATTAGAAAGTATATTTTTGCTGAAAGAAAATGATGCCTACTGTAGGAGCATTAAGACAATCGAGAACATTTTCTATCCAAATTTCCATTACAAGAATGTGGAGGAAAAAAAATCTCATGCTCATTACTATAAAGTGAATAAAACATGTATATTATTTAAATTGTAAATTATTTATTGCCTTTAAAGCCTTTATGCTGTTTTTAATTGTATTACAGTACATTTATCATATGTTTACATATATAAAAAGATACAAAAGTACAAAAATATATATATTTTTTAAATGATCACAGTTGAACACACACACAAAAAGTGAAAGACAAGCTTCATTCTCTTTATGGAGAAAAAATAATAATAATGATAAAAAAAAAAAATATATATATATATATATATATATATATATATTTTTTTTTTTTTTTTTTTTTTTTTAACAATTTT